ATAAAAATCTCATGTATTTATGTTATTTATACATAAACACTTGTTTTGTAAAAGAATAAACAGAGAGAATAAACCACACACGCACACGTTAACTGTGTTCGTCGCTCTTCGTGAGCGCGAACGTTAAGAAACCATATATCATTTTCATCACAATTTTCAGTTCTCTTACTGTGTTCGTAAAATCGAATGACGGCAGTAACTTTCTTCGTACATTTATTTTTTTTTTTTTTCATCATGCGTTGGCCTTTTTTTTTGGTGATTTTCATTATTATTCCTTGGATAGCGGTACTAAACTTGTTTGCTACACATTTTTATGTAAAGTCAGTTTCTAAAGTTCAAACAATTAGCCTATCAAATCCATGGACATTAGTAACTCGAAATAATGCACGTCTGATAAGATTATATAAAAAATATAATTTATTATTAAATTTGACAGCATTTAAAACAAATTATTTATCAAAGAAAACGATAATTTATTCTTGTGCATCATTTTGTGGTGGTTGGGGAGATCGATTGCGTGGTATTACATCTGTTTATATTCTTGCTTTATTAACTAATCGTCGTTTTATGATTGATATGAATTATCCTTGTGACATTTTGACAGTGATTCAACCCAATTTTGTTAATTGGACATATGTTAAACACAATAAATCGGAAAAACGAACTCGCTTGTTTATTAATACGATGCCTTCATGGCAGAAAACATATCGAACTAGTATATCAAATATGATTCAATCAACGGATTTCGTTAAAACTTGGTTACCATATGATGATATAGTTATAGCAACAAATAGCGACTATATGACACCAGCACTTCGTAATAGTTATATGCTAAATAAAACTCGACAATTACTTGGTCGAATTCCTGTATCGCAAGCTACAATGCAAACATTATTTGCTCTTATTTTCGAACTTCTTTTCAAACCTTCTGTAGCTGTTCGTAATCGAGTTGATTCTGTACTAGTTAATTCTCGTCATCGACATCTTATTTGTTTGCATATTCGCATTGGTAAAAATCCAACAAATCCTTTTGATCATTCGTTTACAGCTCGAGCAAATACAACAAAAGCAATGATAAAGTTTATTGATAATTATCTATTAAATAAATCTTCATCACTTGTTTTCGTTGCAGCTGATAGTGGTCAAGCTGTATCAGATATTTTACGTCATTATCCAAAATCATCAATGACAATTACTGGTCCTATTTTACATATTGATCGATTTGATTCGCAATCACCCACTATATGTGATGGATTTATTAAAGTTATTGCCGATTTTTATCTTTTAGGCGAATGTAAAACATCACTTTTATCAAATAGTGGATTTTCATCATGGGCTAATCGACGGAGAGAAAACCCAAATGAAGAATTGTACTATTATAATGAAAAATTAGAAGAAATGAGGAAAGTTAATTAATTAAAATTTTGTTATATGAGTAAACAGAAGCCAATATACTTTTATCTCAAGATTGTTTCGATACTATCTGTAATATTATAAAGCTTTATAACTTAACTTTTAAAGATAAAAATTTCTAATCATCCTGTTATAAAAACTGACAGATTTTGAAAATACTTTTGAAGAATCGATGTGTTTAGAAAACAAATTCATTTCTCTGATTAGTAAAACATGATCAAAAACCTATTTCGAATAGATCATATCATCAGTATTGCTTACTACTGTTTAATGAATCAATAAAATAAATACTTTTCTTATAAGCTATTTTTTATAGCTTTTAACCATAATACTTATTTTTGTCTATGATACTTTTCTTCTAGTAGAATAGTATATTCAATTTTGGCCATGTCTGAGGTTGTAATACTCATGCCTTTATTATAAAATGTTTTAAGCATTTAATAACAGCTGTAAAAAAATAAAGATTTATACAACTTGAGCAATCAAATCATGTTTGACCGTCAACAAAAATCAAAGCCAATTTGCTGCATACTCTGTTAGATGAATGTATGCATCACTTTGACTAAAAAAAAAAAAAAGACATCTGATATGGGATCAAAATCTCTTATTACACTTCAAAATTTGTGAAACATATTCTTCAATCAATATTAATTATGGAGATTCTTTTTCAAAATAGCTTTATCCACTTCTTTCTTTTTCAGTGAAGAGAAGGGAATGACACTGAAATTCAAGTCTTTTTTTTGTTTTTCTTTTTCTTTGTCCTTCCAATCCACATAGCATAATACTTCATTTAATAATCATACAATCCCATGTTGTCGATAGCGGTAAAATAGCGGCGTGATATCGCCGTTATAGCGATCGCATTCTGACTCCTTTTAGCGGTCCGTTATGTCCGCTATAGTGCGATATAACGACAATACAAATCAATATTACGTGCTATATGCGATATTCTCCTATAGTTAAGCACCTAAATACATTTCCATTTTTAGTCAATGCGATTCATATTTTAAATAACTTTTAAATAAGTTCAATAGATATTTTGTACTTTTATTTGTTTATACAAATTATAATAGACAACAGTTAGCATAAAATGTATACAAGATTTGAATAAGAACAATATTAACAGAGAAAAATACGATAATTTTACAAAAATAGCTGTAGAAAAAGCAATATAATACAAAAAAGACTACTTGTTTTTCTTCAAATTTGATTTTGAAGCTACCTTTAGTCATTTGTTTAAAAGTTTGTGAAGACAGTTCTCGAGTATTTGCTTTGATTGACCATTATTAGATACCAGTATGCGCAGACAAACCTTGAAAAACAAAATGCAGAATTATTAGTGGAAAATCAAGCGAAAATTCTAAAAATTATCATATA